GTTTATAACTATGAAGAGGATATCTTCTGCTCTACCAGTAGGGACAGGTCTGTTTTTCCAAGGATGTGAAGGAGGAAGAGAAGAAATCACCAATCAGGCCCCATGTAAAGGGGCTTGGGGCTATTGAAGAAAGGCAACCTATGCTCCTAGGGCATGTAATGAAAAACTGGTGGGGTGGAAGATGCATAGACACAGAGGGAGCATGTTGTAAGTGATGTAGACTGTTTTTCCCTACTGAGGCCAAGCCTACAACCAGAAAGTTTCACCACCAGAACTTCTGTTAGCTCACAGCTGCCAGCATGGTTGTGTTACTGCAACATCTACACACTTGACTGCTTTTGCCAATGCCACATAGCCTCACTGTGAGGAGCTGTGTTGGCTGAAGACAGTGCCCCATGAGTAAGCAGCTTACATGGCAACTGGAGCATATCTACACTGGTGTTTTGCCAGAGGCCATAGAGGGGCTGGACCTGATGATCTCATCAGGTCCCTTCCAGCCCCTAACATCTATGAATCTACGAAAAACTCTTACACTGTTTAGGGAAGTGTTTTTTATAAAGGTGTCAGAAAAGGTGGGTATTGCTGTCTTACATAAAAATGTATGGGCACATGCAGCCTGGGGACAAAAAAAGGCAAATTCTGATAACTTTGAGCACAAAAGAGGCCTCTGAAAGAAGGAATAAGCCAAAACTACATGACCTATGGGCTAAAATACAGGCTTGGGAAATATGCCATGCACGTACACCTTGTCTATGCCTTATACTTGTTTTTGAGTCACTCTGGGCACCTGTAACAGCTGATTTTGAAACCTCTGAAGGGTCCAGTCCCGACTGGGCCTGCTGACAGGTTTGTACCCAAGGAGTAGTAACCAAGGTCCTGTCCTAAGAATATGCAGGTCTCCCTCCACAGAGAAATGGAAGCCTCATAGGCCTGACACTTATGTGGGTCCAGACACTGACACTCTAAGAAGGGTCAGTAAAGCAGCTAATCTGTAAGAACTATTTTACCCATCGCTCATGACAAGCAGCCATCTTTGTGATGGTCTCTAACCGATTTTTTTAAACACATGCATACACTTTACTCCTACCCCATAAACACTAGAGAGAGTTACTACTGAGAAACACAAAACAATGAACAATCTACCTAGCACTCCCATAGTCAAGCTATGCGAGTGATTATGGGTCCCCAGTGCTAAAGGGTCTTTAACAATCCCAATTTCCACAGGAGTTAAGAGAGCTCAATTTATAGGAGGAACTCAAATTCCTCTTAAAATCAGACCCCAAAAAGAGAAAGAATTGGAGTAAAATCCAAGTGGTTTCACACAGCAATGCAGAAAAACAGACAAAATGCAGCAAATTCTGGGGCTGAACTTAGCAGCGTTGTGCAACAACTTAGGCCAGAAAGTAAATACTGCTCTTGAAACCAGAGGGAAGAATTTTGGTGGACAAACTATAATAAAGGTCTGAATTAGACCAGAACATTGGGCTATGAACAATTCTGCTCTTACAAGGAGTGCCATGATATCCTTTATAACTACCTGTGGTTGAGATCTATTTTTTTATTTGTTTATACAGAGACAAAGATGAATAAAGTGAGGAATGCTTACATCAGAGGACAAGTGAAGGTAGTGGAAGTATCTAAGAAAGTATAAGAAAGAATGGCATGGTATGGGCAAAGGAGTCCAGAAAAATGTGTGGGAAAAGAAGATACCAAAATGGCACCACTAGGGGAGGGAGAAGAGGAAGACCGAAGATGAGATAGAGATATATAATAGAGGGACATGAGAGAGATGGAGTTGAAAGAAGAAGATGCATACAACCGAAAGCCAGTGGAGAACCAGAATCTGCAACAGCATCCCTGTTTAGATGGGACAAGCAAGGGAAGAGTTTATACAAGGACAACGGGGTGGATAATTTACAGAAATGTAGACAGTTAAATCCATCTGTGAAGACCTTACCTCAGGAAATAAGCTATAAATATAGGAAATGGAATATGATGTTAAAATGCAGTGTGAATGTTAAGTGACACTTTAACTGTATTTTGTAAATTAAAATGCATCTATTGCTTTGTTTGGTGATGACCATTTCAATAAAAAGCCGCGGTTTGAAATCCCACCGGCAGTTGGGGA